TTTTCATGTGATTGGAAGGTATCGAAGGAGTCACCGGCGGTAATCAGTGCAAGTCGCGCCCAGGTCAAACCTCATACTTGTGATTTCCATTTGAAGAGCGCATTGGATTGTGGGAAAATCAATGTTTATCAACACAAATGTCGAACATGCGCAGCGCGACGACTACCGCGCTTTAAAATGAAATAGAATCATAGTTTGATCCTATCGTGTTATAACAGGAGGGGTGTTCGATGCCTTAGCAACACAATGTTGCTAGATACAAGAGACGTAGATCACTGTTAACAAAATAGAGAAATATAGATGTGACCACCATGAACCCTTGATGTCTCAGCGGTGTTACCTGGTGCACGGAATGAGTGAGAACACCTTGCTAGCTTGTCACACCCACCATCGTTTTATATTTAATACATTTCAAGTAATAAGGATCCAATCGTGACAAGTCATAAGTGATCTATATAGCGTCATTATTAGGAATGCTGTCTCGCATAAATAACGAGATGCCAAACAACGTAGTTCCAATTTTATGAACACCCAGAAGTTTATTAAACATAGCTAACATATCATTGAACTCGAATGTAATGTAATGTTTTTTGTTATTTTTAATGTGCTTGTAACCATGGCTTCTAGTAAGAATTCAATAGGGGAAGTGCGGGCTTGTTTATCCATATTATCGTAAATGCTGCGTCGTGCATATTGTAAATACTTCTACACAACAGAAGAAGTATTCCCACTTCTCTCCATAACAAGGGTTATAAACTTGATTGACAAGTGCGATACAGTCTCTGGTTTGAGATTTGATCTAGAGTGAACAGGAAGTTTGAAAATTGATAGCTGGAAACATACTTAATTAGGTCACGTGATATGACCTGATTGTCCAACAAAATTACTTAAAACAAGGCCTGTTCACAGTAAAATAGAAAATTTAAAAAAGTATAACAACGGCAATAATATCATATGTTGTCTCCATTTGAACATCTAAAGAATGTGACTAGAATAGACTATAGACATTTTTTCTGTACAGTGAAAAAAGTACAGTGAAAAAATGAGCGATAATAATAAATAAAATAGAGACAGGTGAATTACAAATGATTGATATAGAGTCCCAGTTGACGGCAGTGAAATGTTCGTGGGTGTCACGGCGTTCTGAATAAAACTATTCCAATTACACAGCATGCATTTTTTTCGTTTCCACTTAATGTAATGAATGTATTTTATATAATATTTGCCACGGCACGCTCCCGACTTCTATCATATATTTGGTAAGAAATTAAACCTAGAGCTATTTTATTAATATTGTTCGGAAGGATGGTAACCAAGTCTCTCATGGGAAGTTGTTCAGTTGAAAACGAAGAAAAGCCTCTTTTTAATGATATAGCTGGTGTTTTCATTGTTAATGGGTCCCTAAATGGAAAACATATCTGTGGGAAATTAAAAACGATTAAATAAATTAGATTTGGCAATACAAAATTATAAATGATGTTATGCCATCACATGGGCAGCAGGTGTGCCGAGCGTGCTTCCCAAATCAGGAGAAAACTATTCTAATTACTGAACAAATATTAAAATTGATCTGTTCTGTAGAGATTTGTATTGGCATTTCGTTCATGAAAAGACTGTGGTGGCATAGGTTTGATACAATTGTAATAATATAACAAGTCAGTCTGTGAATTGGGAATTATTAAAAGAAGTCGCAAAATGTATATAGTTATTCTTCTTTATTTGACAAATTGCCTCATCATCTCAACATATACAAATGAAAATTATCAGAACTTGTGCAGGTTCATAACCTTATGAGAAAACTTCAATACACTTTTTTTTTTTAAAGTGACGAACAGCGATCTTAAAATAAAATGGGATCGTGTTAGATATCTAATTCTAACAGCTTGCCGGATAAAGTTGGTACACTGAAGTTATTATGTTGGTGACATTTACAGCTTATAAAGATTATTACAAAAATATTCCATCGAAAATTACGTAATCGATGAGTTATCAACGCTACGATTAATAACTTATCAAGATAAAACAATAAATGACTCAATTTTGAAAATCGATTTGATGAACC